GCTTGGTTACTTTAGTCTCAGAGAAGAACCTGATATTACCAAGACAACAGTGCTTTGGTTAGTTAATAAAAAACACATTTGACATAATGGAACCTTTTACAAATCAAGAAACATTCTCATGTTCTTGTAGGGTGCATCTTTTTGGTGTAGTGTTCCCTTTTCTTAGATTCATAGAAGTCTGTTTAAACTCTGTGTCTGAAAAGCAAAAAACATGCAGTGATAATGTTTTTCTGCAAAAGTAGTGACGTCTAGTTGTAGGGATGGCTGACATCCCAAAGAACAGCGCTGTATCTCTGTTTTTCTTCATGTCATGACAGTAGCAGCTGGAAGGAAGTTCCTCCTCCATTATGAGCCATTATTGTTAAACCTGATGTTTGGCTTTTCATTTCTGACTTTGTTTCATAAAAGTAGAAAAATTAAAAGTCATTAAGTTCCCCAATCGTCGACATGGCAGGAACAATCTTTCTTTAATTTTAATTTAACCTCTAAAAGTAGTGAACTGTACTCCCGTAACAACACACCTTATGTAGATCACAACAACACATGAACAACTGGTGAGTTCATTATATGGACAGGTTTAAGCATAAATAGGTTCTTGCTCATTTGAAACTGTATAGAGGAAGTTGAGATAGCATCTTGGTTTCTAAAAGTGAAACACGATGCAAAAATGTCTTTCACTTGCATTCTTTTCTTTGGCCAGCAGGGGTCAACTTCACTGGTCGTTTAAAAAAGGTATGAGGGCCTGATTTACGAAAGGATTGCACAGCTTTTCCACCTGCTAAACCTATGCAACTGAGACGAAATGACACTGCCTAGTTCAGAGAGCGAATGTAAAAGGGTAAAATCCTCCCCAAACTGAGCAGCAGATTAAATTGCGTCTCTATGCGTCTGTGCGGTTTGTGTGTATTTAGTCCCATTAAGCATTCTTTTGGGGCAAAATTACCCCTTTCTATGCATCTAAATGAGCCTCATAGCTATAAAAAAATGTCTAATTTACAGTTGAAGGCACAAATAGCATAGTTAACATATTACTTTCTGCTGAGCGTTGGTGGTAACTGCGTCACAGTATTTTAAGGGATTTGTTGCACAAACTTTCCAGTGATCAGGAAATCAACTCCATCTCTGGATGATATCAAAATAAATTAACTGTGAATAATGTCTGAAACTATTAAAAACATTTTTTAGCTTATCATCGGTATATGGACAAAACTGAGCTCACTCAACTTCAGTGCGCAGCTTCACACAGCCGAGTTAAACTCCACAATCTGACGCAATGCAAGAGCAAACTGCACCGAGCAGAGCATGTTTGCTCTTGAATGTCATTAGCACAACATGCTTTGTGAATTGAACCTTTAGACGGAGCAGATAGCAGGGGCTATTTATGCTCAATTCATGGAGCTGATAGCAGCCTCATTCCATTCTGATTGTCTAGAAGTCTATGAGGAGAAAAATCACTTTAAACTTGATTCAACACCTTTGAGAACATTTCCTTAATACGTTTAACGTCTCAATCGTTAGTTCCAGATATTCTCCAATAATTGTATTGAAAACATTGACAATAAGCTGGTTATGTTATTGGATGTATATATCTGTGATATAAGAGTTGATGCCACAGTGACCTGTCCAAAGAGAGATGAAGCATTGCAAATCAGAACCATCATCCAAACATGGACACCTCCAGATCTAAAAGAAACTCCAAGTTCGAAAGCTTGAGTGACCTCCGGATGGTAGTGCCCACTTCTCACAACCAACGATTGAAAACAAATCCTCAACGCTCATCCCAAACCATTTCAACCAATTACAAAAGGCCTCGTGGCATCCTTACCAACAAACCCCCCCTCCCCGTACTGTTGCATGATGCCACCATATCAGTGGCAGCGAGTTATGAGGCTGGGCATTCCTGGCCATATGAGACACCAGTTCCAAGAAACTACGTCTGAAGCTCCCCCATAAACACAGCACCAGCAATATTGTCAACTAAATATAGCCTCTCCTCTGCCCCCTCCCTCATTATCCCTCCCTCATCGCTCTAGTGTGGATTGCAGGAGTTAATTATGGATTAGTTATTTGCTGTTTGTTAGTTGTCTGGGGTCTTTATATCTCTTTTACTCATACTGTTGGTAAAAGAATAAAGGTCTGGGGAAATTTAAACCTTCAGCTGTCAGGCCTTCCTATCAGACAAATCATGCTACACTTAGCATGTTTAAATCACTGCAATCAAACTTAGACTCTTCTTTGATATAAGCTCCAACTATTCTCTGTAATCATTTCCATGAGAGGAAGATTTCTTGGTGTTGTGGTCTTGGTTTGCCAAAGATGTCACTGAAAGGAGCTCAGATAAAAAATAAAGTTGTTAAAAAATTGCTAAAATTGGGGCAGGGATGGCCTAGTGGTTAGTTGATGCGCCTCATGCACAGAGGATACAGTCCTGAAAGCGGGCAGTCCGGTTTTTGAAAAGATCTTAAAAAAGGCTTAAATTAACAGTTAAATTGTCAAAAGATGGTCAAATGGATTCAAAAGTCGCCTAAAATGCTAAAGTGAACAGTTGTGTTGTTGTAAGATGTGAAAATAAACAGAAAAGTGTCAAAAAAAAGTTTCTAAAAGACATGAAAATGAACAGTAAGGTTCCTTAAATATGTTAAAATTATTTTTAAAGCTGCTAAAATATTAAAAAATTAATAGTACAGAGTTTAAACGGTGATTAAATTAACAGGGAAGTTGCTTAAAGATGCTAAAATAAACAGCAATGGTGCCTCAAGATGTTTTTAAATGCCGGAAGAAAAACAGAGAAAGTTGATAATCGCTGCTGATCCCTGACATCTTATGATATTCGGCTTTAAGGATGTCCAGTTTAATTAAAAAATGTTTTCACTTATTCTCAATAAGAGGAGCTTGCAGAGGTCACAAGCACAGTCATCCAGTGTCCCTGTAAAGATCACATGAAAGGGAAGCAGAGTCAAAGGAGCATGAATGACAGAAAAGGGTGAATCATACAAGCATTGCAAAGTGATTACAGTTACAATGGTTATGAATGTATTAATATCCTCAGGTCAGAGTGGAGTGCGTGTCAGTTTTCATGCCATGACACTAGCCAGCCCTCCTCTGATTTAACCTGCATAACAGAGCGACTGGAAGCTGCATTCTGACACTGATAGTAAAAGACGGTATGCACAGAACATCATGACCCTCAGAGTCGCTTTACAGCATTCAGACCTACATGGAAATGAGCTCTTTCACATGCAATATTACAACTCTCATATCCTGAGCCTGCAAATGTACAAAATGTTCCTCCAATAGCTATAGTCCTCAAAGCATTTATACTCTTTTTTTCATTTTTTTTCATCTTTTCCGCACTTAATCTCAAAGAGACACTCTGTGATCTTACTCTTAATCAACTCCCTCTGTAAATTACATATTCTGACCTTTTTCTTCCTCCCCACATATGGACTCTGTGGCCTCGCTCTTCCTCTGCAGACATTCGACTGAGGGTCAGATTTATGTTTAAGGGCACCCACGAGGCTGCATATTTCAAAGATGGACAGCCAGCTGTGATTTACCGAGCGCTTAGACAGAAGTAGCAATCTGTTTAACTTGCGTGTGAACATGTGTGACTGGGGTGTGAATGTGTGGGGCTGTTTTTAAGGAACCTTGGAGTTTGCATTGTTAGTTATCACCATAGAAATGTTGTGCATGTGTGAGCGTTTGCCTCTGTGTAATTGTTTAAATGTGTGTTTCAGACACCAATTAGCCGTATAAAGACAGAGAGAAGAAGAAAACCCTTTAAAGTGCGTTTGTGTTTTGATGTAAAACGATAATTTAGGGCAGAGATTAGGCAATAGGAGGGGAAGGGTTAAGGAAACAAACGCTGTCAATGAAAGTCCGCGTAGTGATAGTGCAACAAAGGGAAGTAATTACAGTAAATGATTAATTAGCCTAATGACTCCCGCAGCCCGAGGCTTACATTAGAAAGGAAAAAAAAAGAGATTCTTCCACTGAACCTCAGCAGCACAGCTTCTGCTTTATTTTTTAACAGCTGGGAGGTGATGAGAGACCTTGATGCTGCTTAATAGATTAATAGATTTTCCCAGAGGCTGTATGTGCTTAATGATCGTGTGTGTGTGTGTGTGTGTGTGTGTGTGTGTGTGTGTGTGTGTGTGTGTGTGTGTGTGTGTGTGTGTGTGTGTGTGTGTGTGTGTGTGTGTGTGTGTGTGTGTGTGTGTGTGTGTGTGTGTGTGTGTGTGTGTGATAAATACCAGGACTGTGATATGTATCGTGAACTGCTGGTGGGTCAGTGAGCTGTATCTTCAGCATTCATGTGTGTTCATTTTAAATAAGGCTTGTGGTTCTGATTGAACTATTCAGGTTCTGAAACCAGAGGCGGCTTCTTTTGTGGTTTCAGTGCACAGTCAGTGATGGACAAGGTTTTTTTAAATCCCTTAACACACCCAAAGTAGAGCAACAGGCTGTTATAGTGAGTGGCAGAAATACTTATATTTAATTTTTATACTTTAGAATTGAAAACATTTAAAGCTATAAAAAATGATAGAATAGCTCACCTGTTTATTATCTAAAAAAAAGTGGCATCAACTCACTTTTTAAAACACATGCAACTTATTTGAAAATTCCCGGAAGGGTTGCATTTTAATAAACTCAGTTCCCAAAGGGGTAACAAAGTGTTGTTCAAAGAAAAAGTGATGCAACAGAGTGATAAACATGATTTATGACAAGTTGTGGGCATCATATTCCAAATGGGAAAAACCTCAAAGTTTCTCTGTTTCTCCGCCTCTCCTCTCCTCTCTTCTCTTTTCTTCTCTTCTCCTCTCCTCTCCTCTCCTCTCCTCTCTTCTCCTCTCCTCTCCTCTCCTCTCCTCTCCTCTGCTCTAATGAGAAATGCTACTTTACCTTTTATTTAGATCATTTTCTCCTCCCCTGTCCTCACATTTCCCGACTGCCAAACTGTGGCCAAAAGCTAAAAGTCCCCGCCCTCTCTTCCTACACAGAATGATGTCTTCCATGCGAGCTACGCCTCCCTTCCACCCACGGTCTGAGGAAGAGGAAGCGATGGGTCAGGATATTGGGGCCTGGGCCAGCGACAAGCGAGATGGGCTGAAGGAGACCCCATCTCCCTCTGCACATGACCAACCGCACCTGGACGAGCTGCAGCCGGTCAGAGAGAAGCTGACAGATGCTGAGTGGGAGAATGTGGTGCCTGCTGCTGCGATGGTGAGACGTGAATTACGCTCTGACCATATCTTATCTTAAGATATGTAGCTATAAGTCAAATCTATGAAACAAATGTGTGTACACAGTGTACACACTCAGGGCACAGCACTCATAAAACACTCATGAAATACATTCTGGAGTACACAGGGTGTGCAAATTCTCATGCATAATGATGATTGTACACAATTGAGTGTACACATGTGCGCGCGCGCACACACACACACACACACTCCTCTGGTGTGTATGCCGCGGGCAGTGCTGTAGGCAGCCCAGTGAGAGTCCTCCTCTAGAGACATGTCGCCCCTGGTTCTTCTCATCTCTGCAGCCTGTTTTCATGTGTGTGTGTGTGTGTGTGTGTTGAGGTGTTAGTTACTTGGCTTCAGGTTCTGTTGGTCCCTAATGGAAGAGGCGTGTTTGACTTTGCCCTCTGAGGAAAGGGAAAAGTTCTGAGAGTGAAGTTTCCTTAGGTATCAATGTTGTGGCCAAACACATTTGACATTTCCCATCAAAAGTCCTATTCATTCATCTCTATAATCCTAAATCTAACTTTTTCCTTCCTTCTTGAATTTTTATATTCAGGATTGTGTGATTATACAGTTGTTTTATTGTTTTTATTTGGTTTCATACACTGATTTAAGTTGTAAGTCACTCTGAGTCCACAACAAGAACTTTGAAGCTAATGAACATTTTAATAACAACATTTGAACATTATGTTTCACTTAGTGCCAGTGAAACAAAGAAAGATGAAGCCAGTGCGCATGTGCAAAACACCTGCAGTTCCTCGAGTGTCCACACGAGGCTGACTGCAGAAGTCACATACACACCCGTTCAAAAATTCCTGTTTTATTCAGCAGAAATTAACATGTTTAAAGCCAGGTTCAAAACGAGCTTGGTCTTAATAGTTAATTTCTTTATCGGCACACACTTTTGAACCTATAAAGGATAATTCATAATGATACACGTTGCTCACCTGATCGACGGGGGGCTCGATGTAGCTGTTTGTAAGGAGGCCTAAGCTCCAGCTCTTTGCCTGTTGATAGGCTGACCTAATAGTTTGACATAGGATTTCCAATATGGCAACCACCATCGACGGGCTACAAGAGTCTCCTTCAGTAACCAATGAGTGACGTCACTGAGACTTAGTTCATGTTTATTTACAGTCGATGCCTGAGCGTGACCACCACATAGGAGACTCATAGTGACCTATTAAAAGAAGATTTCTTACAGTATTTTCTGAATGGATAAAGACAGAATGCTGTGCTACTTTTTTAACCACTTCTTGAAAAAGTATTAATAGTTAGCTGCAGACGGTTGGCCACAGGGCGATGAAGATACCACAAAGAATACCACAATAAATGTTACCAAAGATAGACAAGCCGAGGACTGATAAGGTGAAACCACACCCCTCTACTTTTCATCTTGTCACCAGCTTCAGGGCATTTAGAGACAATCCTAAATGCATAGTTTTGGTAAAAGTCTAGAGTTCATTGTTCAGTCGGTTTTCAGATATTCATCTTAATTTGTCTTGCTTTACTTCAGTTCCACTAATGAAGAAATAATTGTTTTTGTACAGAGTAGATTGTTTTAAAAGGACCCACACTTTTGAAAGGCTTAGTTCATTATTTTGTTAAACTTTAAAGTACATTGCCTTCTCATCCAGGGTGACTTCCAAGTGACCTGATCAGTGTGGGTGCCTTACTCAAGGACGACTTGCTCCGTCTCAGGGGCAGTCATGGACTCATCTCGTCTCCTGAATGATGAATACGTGACCTTTTGGTGCATAATACGATCTCACCATCAGGCCTTCCTGCCTCCAAACTGCTTGTTTAACTCCTGAGCGGCATTATATGAAGCCGAAAAAAAACACCTCAACCATCCACAAGTGACACACTATCTCCTAATCCTCATTACGGAGGCATCTTCCGCTTAGAGACAAAGTGCACAACAGGGCCTCCTGGAGCCATTTCAAGGGCGTCTTAAGATCCCGCTGTTAGCCAAAGCCCCTTGTCTTTGAAACATAAGCCTTCTAAAGTTCTTGGAGATCCCCCCACTCTGTAAGGGGAGGAGAAAGCGTCCAGAAATAGCCGCGGTGTTAGAACACCTGTGCTGGAGTGTCTGTTGTGTGGGGACAATGTGGTCGTCTTGAAGGGCTTATCTTCTCAGTAAAGATAGATCCTTGTGCCTCTCGCTCGACTCATAACCCTGCAGAGCAAACAGCATGGGGGACAGAGACACTCTGGACATGTAGCACCACATGAAAAAATATTTCTATCATGAGTCATAAACAAGTCAGAAGTCTCTAGCTGTGTGAACTGATCTGAAATGTGTCATAGTAAAGAGAGGAAAAAAACATGTGTGTGCTAAGTAACTTCACATTTTCTGGCCTGGACATCTGTTATCCACTTTGCATTCCTTATTAATCAAGTTAACCCTCCTACTAAATCAGCACTTAACAAAGTTACTCTAAACATGGAGCCGGTGGTACGCTGGTGATAACAGAAGGTTTTTTGGTTGATTGGTTCGTAATGGTATGTGTTTAAACTTTTGAAAACTTTTGAAAATATTTGTTTTTGGGCCATTTTGATGCTTTAGGCTGAGGTTGAACTTATAGCAGACAGCAAACAGAATCCAACTATAACTCAAAGCAGCTGTATTTCAGGTTATAAACATGTTTGATTCTGCTGTAAAGTCGAGCTTCTTAATATAGGGCTTAATGGAGAGTGACTCTTTTTCAGCATTCACCTCAAGTGGCCACTCGGGGAACTGCAGCTTCTGGCACTTCTGGGTTGTTACAAAGGCTACACACCGGCTACCAATCAAACCAGCAGCTGATATTCTCAACACTTTCTCACCTTTGTTTTCTGCCTCTTTTCAGGACACTGACAGCAGTAAAGGCTGCTCTGTCTACTCCTACCGGACTAACTCTACCTCTCCACCAAAGCCAGAGGAGTGTTCCAGGGAGCAAATGATCGGCCTCACCTTCGGGACGCCGGAGCGCCGCAAAGGAAGCCTGGCAGATGTTGTGGACACACTGAAACAGAAGAAACTGGTGGAGCTGACCAAGACAGAACAAGACGGTAGGCGAACGTCCTGAAACCTAATGTGTGTCTTATGTCTCTGAATCTGTGATTTTACAAGCTTCAAGACAAACACTCTTTGTTGTTTTGAATCCCAGTTTATATTTCTAGAGGAGCTTTATCTTAGATGGCTGTGAGAGACTTCTTTTAATAAACTTCTCTTGGTTTAAAAAAATGTGACACACTCTTTTTGAAGCAGGCATATGACCAACAGAGGACACAGTAACTTATTGTGAAGCGGAAACATAATAGAGTGACCGATGGCCGTATCTGTTTCAGAAAGAAGGATTGTTCAGTAGTTTCTCGGAGAGCTCTTTGTCCTCGCACACAGCTAAAATGACTGCTGCAGCTGTTTGAAAATGTTCCGAGTGCAGCTGAAATCCATTATTGAACTGATGTTGGACCTTCAACAATGACAGCAGAGATACAAGAACACAGCTCGTCCTGTCATCACATGCTGTCGTCTGTTACAAGAAATCTAGGATGAATCAATCCTAAACTTACCGACATCGTTTATTAAAGAGATGCAGTCACACGCTGAGGCCGCAGTTAACATTGACTCAGATTAAATGACACTAAAATAACACCTCTGGTTTGCATAGATACAGTAGTGTAACAATTGACTGTAGGAAATATGTTTCTAAATCTTAGCCTGCCTAGGCTCCAAAGTACGACGATCTTTATCCCATGTCATTGTCCTTACGTGCAGGGATTCTCCTCATGTATGTTATGAAAGAATGCACAACTATGCAACTTCAACACTCCTCACCTTACATCAACTGACTTCATTGGTACATAAAAATAAGATAAAATACGGCATCACAAATGATGTGAAGGGAAAACTACTTTGTCATATTTTAAAGCACTCGACCACTGACCGAGCTGACAGGTGTGAGGATCTTTGAGGGAGAACTGACTGACGTAAAAACGATATAATGTACCTCTAATAAAAAAAAGATCAACATTTCACCTTCACAATAACTCATAAAACCATTCATGTGGGACACAGTTGATTCTTTCACAGTAACAGGCGGCGTCTTTAAACTGTTCCAGATCGTAGTTTATTCCTTCACATTTGATGGACAGGATGCTGCTGCTGTCGCTCCTCTCCCCCCTCACTTTCACTTAAAGACAGAGCTGCCTTACATGTAGTTTGTTTTGCCCTTTCTGAACACATCCTCTCCAGAGGATCTTTGAACGTCTAAAATTACAACCGACGGATCCCTCGCTCGTTAGATCACAATATCAATCAGTGAAAACACAGGTTTCCCTTTCTCCTCCGACTCCTCTGATCTGCACCACTAACACAGGAAGGTCTCCCAGCATGCCTCGGCCTGCCCCTTCACAGCCCACAGCGAGCCAGATCTAAAAGCATCTAACACCCCTCTTTACTGTTCTGTGCACATAGTAATCATGATGATATCAGAGGAGCGCTTGATCTCTCTCATTTACTTTGTTATTGATACAGTCAAGTGTGAAGTGGGCCAGAATGGGACAGCCAGAGGCCAAAGACAGCACACAGTGTCTCTAGTTGAAAGATAGGAAGCTTTGCCTCTTATCTACTGTAAGGAAACTGATTGAAAGGAAAGACCCGTGTGTGTGTGTGTGTGTGTGTGTGTGTGTGTGTGTGTGTGAAAAGTGACATCCTCCTGTCAAATCAAAGGGGGAGTGAGTGGAAAGAAATGCTCGGGGACAACTTTAAGTGTGTCTTCTTTTTCATTTTTTTTTCCATCTCATGTGTTTGTTTCTCCTTTCCGTCGAAGCTCGAATTTGAAATCCATTTTTTTCCAGTCTTTTCTGCAGTTTCTCACCGTGCTGCTTTAAATCATCATCCCTGATTTACTTTTCTCTGAGTCCCTTTTGTAGTTTATAAAATTGTATTTTTCAGCGATCGTACTGTAACACATATTTTTTGCTTCACTTTGTCCTCAATTATAATGAACAAATATTTATTTTGTGATCATGTGACTCCTTCCAGAGAGAAAGTGGGGGTTTAAATGGCAGACTGTTGCAGTCCTGTATTTTGCTTGTTGCTCTATTAAAAAAAATGTTATAATATATAAAACACTCATCAAAATTTAAAGTTCTTTTGATGATAAATATTACAGAAGGAGACTTTTAAAAAAACGTTCTGTGCAGCAAGAACTGAGGAGTAATGATACGATTGAGAGAGAGTCAATTTGAGGTGCATTTGTTTTCTTCTTCTTCTCTTCCTTCTTTTTGTCTTCTTCATATTTAAAAATAAACAAATCAATACATGTAATTGAATTAAAGATACAATATGTAAACTTTTTACACTCAAGTATCTAAATTAATAAAAAATGGACTAAACCTATGTTATATATATTTTGTTTTTGTTAAGTACTTACATTACCTCATATATTTCCAACAGTTATCAAAGCATGAGAAATCCTTCATGTTTTAGCTGTAAAGCCCCGTGTCTTTTGTGGCAGCCATGACAGACACGACATGTTTAATCGTTGCCAAGGAAACACCAGATGTTACGTCAAGTACCGCTACATAAGGAAGCGGGAGCTGCTACTGAAAGCTGCTGTACTGAGCTGCTGTGATAAAAACGTCATGTAAATTATACTCGGATACATCACCTCGTCGGTAAAAAATATTCTCTTCAAGTTCGTTTTCATCGGGTGTGGGGGGTTGCAGTAGCAGAGAGAATCACTCCCCGCCACCCTCACTGGCATCTTTTGTTGTTTCTTTGAGTGGTGACGGCGGAACTGACATACTGCACGTTTGAAGAGGCAATAAAGACAGTAAAAATATCTATTAAAGTAGAAGAAGAAACACACTTTTCAACAGAGTCCGTCCTGCTTAGTGTCTACAAAGAGGAGTCAAACAGGTCAGCGGTGGATTGAACTCAGATACATCAGTCGTACTGCAGTTCTTCTGTAAAAATACTTCACACAGTAATGCCTATTGAATGATATCTTGCACATTTTCCCCTTCTTGTAAACGAGAAAAAAAAAGAAAAAAAGAAACAGCTTACCATTGAGCTGAGTTCTCCTTTTGCTAATTTGCGGAGCTGCTTTTTCCCCAAGGACTGGTGGCATTGATCACGCTGCAAACACGCAGCTGAGACAAAGAGAGGACCAACATAAGCAGGCACGATGAATCCTACACTGTTAGCATGAATAATAACTCTTTCTCTGGGCCTTGTAAACGCGCATGTGAATCGCTGCGGTCCTTGAAGATTCATTGTAAAATTGTCTTTCATGCTGTGCTGTGCTGTGCTCACGCAGTTCATTTAGAGCCTGATGTAACCCGCGTACGGAGATCGGCAAGTGCCACTGCTGTTTCTTTTCCATCCAGTTGAGTTAAAATGAGACGAGGTGATCAATAAACGGCTGAATGCTTCGTTAAGTGAGGTCTCCTTCAGTAACGAACACTCACATTCAAACCGTCGAATGATTAATCTCTTCACCTTTTTTGTTTTGGTCTCATTTGTTAATTTATTGGAATAAAGCTTCATTTCATAAAAACGTTGTGTCCTTCACTGTTACATGATGGGGTTTCTGTTTCTGTTTTCCTCTTCTTCTTCTGTCCTTTCACTTCGGGAACCTTTTAAAATCAGTTTTGGCACATTGTTGGAATCCCCCTTCAAAACACAACCTTGCTAGCGTGATGATCTCAATCTTACTGGTAATGGCAAGCATCCCACATTTTAAAGCTGTCAGAATTTTTAGGTTTTGGTTAAGGAACGCAATGCGGAACTGGAGTGCAAGGACATCCCGGTAAACAGGCTCATGTTCTGATTCTTTTGTAACGAGACGTCATTTTGTATTTCAAATGCAGCGCTGCAGAGAGCTCCACAGGTTTCTTCTCCAGGTCGCAGCAAGTCGTTTTTATCCCCTCACTCCTCTCTTGTGTTCACTTCGTCTGACAAGCGGTTTTGTTCGCATTCCTCTTACAGTATACGATTAGATTTGATCATCGGCACTTAAATGGCGAGCAAATTAAAGCCTGAGCATTCTGGTCCCTGCCTCGTCCTCCGCCTCCCGCTGAAAAGAGTTCAGTCATCTGAGCTATGCCAGGTTACATCTCCCGTATGATCAAATGGTACAGACCCTATTAGCCGCTGAGCGCTCACTTAGCCTAACATAGCTGACCCCTCTGTGTACTGTAGTCCTCGGCTAAAGTGTTGTTGATGACACTGTTAGCCTTTGCGCAGCGCTCACCCCCTGTCGGCACGCTGTTAGCTGTCGGCCGCTCACAGGAGCCCTAAGTGCCTGTGACAGTTCTAATGAATAGAAATGGCCTTGCTTTGCAATGTGGGGCATTTCTTCTTTTTTTTTTTACCACCCCCCTTACTGCCACCTCAGCTTTTAAAGATTTATCAAGACGGTGTCAGCTCGCTGTTTTACCACACAGCTGGTCGCTGCAAACACGTCCTTCCTGCCCGGACTTTTACAGCACGCGAGCTGACAGGGTGAAGGCCGCACCATTTTCTTGACATTTTTATTTTTGCATTATATGTTGAGTTCATTGTGCGAAGGTTCAGATACAAAGGCCCGCTGCACACAAAAGGCTTCCTCTATACTGTTAAAGCACTTAGCAATTATTAAGCTGGTCGGCTGGTTACTTAAAGAAATGTTCAAGGCCAGCATGAGGGAAACATCAGGAGGAAAAATGAACCGCATTTCTCCATTCTGTGTCATTTAAGAGCTTAAAAAAAGAGACAGCGAGGTGGGGAAAGAAAAGGCTGCAATAAACAGAGAAATGACCCAAACAATGACCTGTCTCTTAACATTGATAGATGTCTCATTAGCAGACATGAATCTGAGTTCACCTTGTCTCCCTGAGCACTCGGCACAAAAGCAGTCAGGAGTGGACACATTTATCTGAAACCAAAGCATCCTGGACTGCTGCCTGACGGACATTAAACCCAGTGAGGGAGTGCAATCAAGCTGCCTCCGTTTTGATGACTGAATTATCATTATCTGTATTGTTGTGGCTCTCGGAGGACGAGCCGCTGTTACCGGGGG